AGAGAATAACAGATACTTCCAGAAAGCCACATCACTTTTAACAGCATCTGTACAAATATAGTCTGAAATGTAAACAGACTATATTTAGACAAACAGCGCATATCATCTGTACCGTTTGCTGTTTGCTCCAAGCATGCAAATTGCTGGGCAGGAGAAGCAGTTTTCCACCCCCCTTGTTTTCCTCCCCCAAAGCTAGGTGCATCTTATACGCCAAAAAATACAATACTTTTTTCACTTTTCAGGGACTCAACTATTCTAAAACATTTTCTCCAATCTTCCTTTGCTCAATTGCATCTTTTATTCTTCATAACAGTATTTTTATTTGAGAATAGCAACAGCACTTAGCACTTAATGTATATACCTCTTCACAGTGCTTTACACCCCTCTCTCAGCGGTTTACAGAGTCAGCTTATTGCCTCAACATTCTTATTTTCTGATCTTGGAAGGGTGGAAGGCTGAGTCAATCTTGAGTCGGTCAGGATCAAACTGCTGGCAGTGAGCTGAATTACCCTGCAATATTGCATTCTAACCAATGCGCCACCACGGCTCTTACAGTTAAAATAATATTAATTATTTTTTCTTCTTTATTTTGGCAGTCTTGTCTTTGGGTGCAAGTCAGGTAGGTAAGGATGAGCATACCCAGATGCTTCCAATCTCTTTTCCTAATACTTAGTTTCCTAATACTTAGTTTCTAATCCTACGTCCTCTTGTGATTCTATATCCTCTGCCAGCAGCCATGAGCTCAGTGCTCTTGCTGGTTCAATCCCACAAATAACGAAGCCCTTCACATGAAGCTGGACTGATGTGGAATGGAGAGGAATCATTTTTTTCCACAATGTGGAAACTGTACTGTTGCTGAATCGTACAATACCGTTTGTCATTTTTGCAGTGTGTGTAACATATACATTTGTTGATTTTATATTCTAGGTTTTGATTTTGCTGTCACAGCCACCCCCTGCCCTTTTTTTTGACAATTTCCTGCATCTGCTCCTGGAATCTTCTGTTCAGAGCAATCTCAAGACAGACAGATGCTTGGGAGATACCATTGGCCAGGCTTTGGGAGTTATTCAAGGGGGGTTGAAAATGGTTGCTCCCACTCAGATATCATCAGGAAAAGATTAAGTAGCTATTTCCTAGCTTGGCTGGTTAAGAGGAAAAAGGCATGTGACAGATGCTTTATACTGTTTTATGTTGCTTTATCTTTGCACAGTACTTCTGATAAGGGACAAATGCACTCCGGATGTTCAAGCTGAAAAAAATGAACTAATATTGGAGATTAGTGATATAAAGTCAACCTTAGGGTTGGAACGGACCTTAGAGGTCTTCTAGTCCAACCCTCTGTTGAAGGCAGGACTCCTCATACCATCTCAGACAAGTGATTGTCCAATATTTTCTTGAAAAACTCCTGTGATGGAATATGCACAACTCAGATCATCAAATAATAAACAGTTGACATTATATTTAAAACAAATATGCAATGCAATCGAAGAAGCAGTAACATTAGATGGAATTTTAACACATTGTTCAATTTAGTGAGAGGAGTTTGGTTTTTACAAGCGGGTTGGCGGAGAATTCCCTTCAGAGATTTAAAGAGTAGCAAGAGTGTGTGATTGCAGCTAAAAAAGCCAATGCAATTCTAAATTGCATTAACAGAGGGATTCGATCAAGTGAGGTACTAATACGACTTTAGAAAGCCTTAGTAAGACCACACCTAGAATATGTTGAGACTCTAGAAAGAGTGCAGAGAAGAGCTGCTGATGATTAGGGGACTGGAGGCTAAAACATATGAAGAACAGGTACAGGAACTGGGCCTGGCTAGTCTAGTGAAGAGAAGGACTAGGGGTGACATGATATCAGTGTTCCAAAATTTAAAGGGTTGTCACAGAGAGGAAGAGGTCAACCTATTTTCCAGAGCACCTGAAGAATAATGGATGAAAACTGATCATCCAGTTGGACTCTATACTATTTCTGACAGATGGAGTCCAGTCTCTTCTTGAAAGCCTCCAGTGATGAATAAGGTGACCAGATTTTCAGATTGGTAAAGAGGGGCACCATCACACCATCCCTAAGTGTGAAGCCTCTTGCTTATCTACCTTCACCTTATCCATCTTCTGCTCTTTCCCTCTCTTCCTTCCTTTCTCCTTCCATCATCTCTTCTTTCCTCACT